CACCTTCTTGCCCTTGCTGAGCAACTCAGAATTTATGGAGAGAATCCAGGTGAACAGCCGCGTTCTTACAGATATTCGGGATACTCGATGGTTGACTTGGAATTTCGATTGGGTCATCTCGGCGAAATATCAACGGCGAACTATCGACCCAAAAGGGTTGTTTTGGGATACCTCCCTCAGTCTACTTCAGAAATTTCGTTTTCCGCGCGTTTCCACCGCATCACCTAGTTCTTTCACAATCCAGGATCCTTTGAAACGACGAAACGAACGTTTCTCTCCGCCGGCTCCAAAAATCATCAGATGTTCTTGGGGGTGGCGACTGCACATAGGACTGGCATCTGCGAATGCTACGAACCTGGCAGCGCCACAATCTTGAGATGCAATTGTTCGAGGGCTATAGAATGGAGGTGGAAAGAGCAAGGCAATCTGACTAGAAAAAAAACTAACCAATGTGACATTTTTAACTGAGGAGAAATAGACTAGGAAAAGATTTTATCGGTCAGCCGAGGAGAGTGTATACCAGTGACGTCATTGGCTCCCTCTCTCCACCCCCCGCTGGGATGTAGCCCAACCTTTTCTACTCTTCTAACCTGGTACTACCGTCACGCTCTCAGACGAAAATTCGGGTGTCTTTCGCTCCAGGAATCCTTGGCAAAAGAAAATAGGGAGTTTCTCCAAAGTGACAACATTTCAGCCTCTTCTTGACCGAAGCCTCTGAACAATGAAACAGGGACTGAAAACATCACTGCATTATATCAGAGTTTCCAACTCCGATAGCAAATGCTTTCTACTCATAAAGTTGTCCATCACAAGATCCAATTATTACTGCGAAACAGCCTAGAAGGGATGGGAGACAGTATTCGTCGTACCAACATAGACTTAACGAGACGATATAGGCGTCGGTAAAGTTGTCTTAATTCATTCGCAATCGCATTTCATGAATCTGCCGCTGATCGTTAGCTGCGTTATGCCTGACGCTTCAGTTTCATGATAAGCCTTGAACCTGAGAAAAAAAATGAAAGCAGCGCTAAGATGAGGTCGTTATTCTGGGTTCCATGTCAGTTTTAGCGTTGGTGTTAACGTTCGTGTCAGTGTTAGTGTCGATGTTGGTCTTGGTGTTAACACCAAGGTTGATGTTTGGAGAAGCCTCTCGACACTAACACTGGGAGATAACACCAACACCCGATTTGAACTCACTCAATGTGGATGATAATGATTCTCCCATTCACAATGAAAGAGGTACGTCACACCGAAACGTTGATTGTCGCGAAGATCTCGTCTTCCATTTGATGATGTGAGACATCTCAAAGAACCTCCGGTCCTTTCCGTTCCTGAACTTGGAACCTCCAGGAACAACATCAGCCTACGAGTCAGATGAGATGTGGGCTGGTGTAGAAGAATACGTAGCCACGGCTAGGTCTGGGACATTTCTGCGAATCGAGCTCTTGAAACACGATCTGGAAGCAGTTCCCGTTTCTCTTACGTACTCTCACGTACCTCTAACAATCAACGGTGCATTGCGAGACATTGGAACATTGCGAGTCACAGTTGTACTCACCATCTGGGTTCTGAAAACGAGGGCAAATTTGGCATCGTGGTTTCCTATTAGGAGCTCCACCTTTCCTGATGTCTTTGCGAGATGGATGGGAGGCACTCACAAGAAGTATCCCCAAATTATCTGGCTAGCGGAATGTTGTTAGTGGAGGCCGAGGAACTATTTTCTTGCCGGTCTCATCACTCTTCAAGATATGGAAATGACGATTCAGAATTTCACTCACAGTCCGTAAGGATGGACGATACGAGACCCGAGGAACCAAACCGTCGGAATCAATCTTACATTCTGTATTTTAAAAGTCGTTCACGAAGAGTCTCGTTGGTTTTCCTCGTGGCATCCTGGATGACAGATGGATCGTATCAACGAGCGAGGAGAATTCGATACGATCTGTGGCCGTTCTTCACGAGTCTTCCCATCAAACGAATCTTGTCAGATGCCGTGATGCCGTCAGATGCCATGCCCTTCAAACGAATCTGCCAAGATTCGTTTGAAGGGCATGGCACGGGCGAAGGGAACGTCCACTTTTGAAACGAGGGAGGTTTCCCGTGTCTCTGGACCGGAGGCTCCGAGCATCTTTTCTGCTTCAACTGGATGAATCCGTTCCATCGAACTATCGAGTTCTCCTTCCAGGAGACCATCTCTTCCATATCGTTTTCACCTACTGCCGACACTTCGGAATGGCGAGACCTCCACCAATCTCTACGGTAAACCCAGTGAAGTACTCGACGTTCAGCGAGTCGGTGACGCTTCCATGATTTCCGGATGGGAAGGCTCTGGACGCTGAATAAATGTTAAATTTTTCACATCGGTCATAAAAAAGATAGGTCTCCGAACGCATTTGACGACGATAGGCTGGGATAGGGGGAGGAGAGCGGAGAGAGATAATCTGTTTCGAGGAAAAGAAATCCTTTCTCAGACGCGCAAGCGACTTAAGGCATTAACAGGATTTTAGCTCGATGCAACATTCCACTGTCGACAAGATTTCACGCATTAACTTCCGTTATATGCAGTGGCAAGCGGCACAGTGGCAGCACTGGCAAGACCACACGTTTAGAGTATCGTCTTAAATTTTGAATTTTAGGAGCCTACGGCGCTGGAGACATTAAATTAATGGGGTGTCATGCAACCCATCGGTTTAGGAGCTAAACTCATCTCATTCCGGGCAAATATGTTTAACCCTTTCTACGACCGTACAGTTCTCCTAGTGGGGACTTTCAATGATAAATGAAAGAAAATCTGAGATTTCAAGCTGAAAGCGAGCGACATGGCTGGAGTGTTCACTTGCGCTCTGGTGAGAACGAAATACTAGGTAATAAACCATAGTGATTCTGAAGCGGCAGGGCTCTCCGTGTCGACCTCTGCTTCCGCGAATACCACACCCTAAATCATTACTACGGTAGGTGCAACTTTGAACCACTCATAATCAAAAGTACTTCATACTACAAGCCCAATTATAATTTTTTGCGTAAACACCGAGCTCGTGCACCCCTGAAAAGTAAACCCGGCCGGGAGGCACGGCCGTGCGAAGAAATCTCCGAACCGAAAGGGTTAAGAACGAGTTGAACTCATCGTTGAACTATTATATGACATGCACCAAATTCAATCAGTTTATTTATCTTGAATTGTAGTCTTAAAAGATACGCTTGTTCCATAGCAGGTTTATCTCCCTAAACGGATTCTCAGAGGTAGTTCAGCGTGCTGCTTTCCGAGTGGGCCTGTTTTCTTGCCTCTCGTCATCTAGCGACAGTGGAAATGAAACTAATGAAGACATAAACTTTTTTTCTTTAACTTGAATTTGAAGCAATCTGCCAGGACTATCAAAGATGACTCGATCTTCTTGAATGTTTCAATGAAGACGAATCCGGACAAGGTTTCTTCTTTCCGCGGACACCATCGCCGACTCGGTGCGGACAACAGAGCATCAGCCGGTACATGATGGGTCACTTGCACAGGATCCGTTTCGGTTAAACTAATATAAGGTGACATGCACCGAATCCATTTAAGCTAAACTAATCTGATCTCACCATGGTTCCCTATGGGAATCAGTTTAGCCAAGATAAACGTATTCCCATAGACGCCCACTATGAAAACGAATCAGTTTAAAATTAAACGGATCTGGTGCATGTCACCCATAATCTCACGATGGTTCCCAATGGGAATCGGTTTCACAGAGATTATCTTATTCCCATAGACTCCCATTGTGAAAACAAATCAGTTTAGAGTTAAAAGGAACTGGTGCACGTCATCCGATACTCATCATTCCCTTTCCGAGTTCTCCCATACCTCCTTTGAACGTGTTTAAGTCGTGGATAAACGTATTCATGGTAACTAATCTGATTTTCTGTGCTGCATGTCAAAGATAAACACATTCTTAAACGTGTTTTTCGTAAATGTGCTCATTTCGTCTTTAAATCGATCCGATGCCTCGAGTTGGGGCATGTCATCCATGGAGGCACGAGGATTTCAAGTACTACCCTCCAAAAGAGTACCTGTATTATTTGCAAGAAAATGTTTCTGACAGCGTATTCGAAAGACATAGGGAAATTAGAACGGTATGGCTTCTCGAAGTACGTAGTGGCGCTCCCCGGGCCAAAACCGCACGATACCGTCTGAACACTATTCCACAAATACAGCGCCTCGTACGCGACAACAGAGAAAGCACCATCGAACGAAGGACACATCCGGCCTAAGTGCCTGACCATGAGTGGATTTTGACCAGTGTTTCACCTCTTCATCATCTTTACCAAAGTCTTCACCGACACCCTCGACTATTTTACATTTTTACCTTTTCACTTACACGTCCTAGGTTTTACTCCTTGTTGAAACCGGACTCGTCAGTAAAGACCGGATAAAAAAATGTAAAAACCGAACGGGTCTATCTGCGGATCGAGCGAGATTGGTCATCGTGGTGACTTATACGAACAGAAGACGTCGAGTCGATCACTCGTAAAGATAAAGCCTCACTTTTTGAATTTAAACATTTTTCAAAGCATGGGGATGATCATAGCGCTAACTATAAGGCAGCATTGGGAAATTATTTTCCTCTGTGACCAAAAGCTCGGTCCCAAGCTTTATTTGGCTGCGGCCTCTCGAAGTCGACGGCACATCGCCGGGTCGAAACGTTCAAAAAGACCGGCGACACGGTGGACGAACAGGGAAAGGGAAGAAAACGGAAGACCACGGGAAAGGAGCATGCGTCGATCGTGCGTGAGTCCCTGTCTTCGTCAGAAGCCAGCTCCTCCCAGTTCTCGCGCGTTTTAGGTCAAGGAGTGCCCGTCTCGGCTATTACGATTCGACGTCACTTGCGGGAGTTTGGGCTGGAGTACGCGTATCCGACGGTCGAGCCACCCTCGATCGAACGACACCTTCGAGCTCGTCTCGAGTTCGCAAAACGGAACCCTCGGAGGGACCGGTCACAAGTCCTGTTCACAGATGAGACCATCCCTTACCTATTCGCAGCTCCGCGGCGGGTGTGGCGTAGCTGCACCGTGATGCATCCTCCAAGATCCACGTGTGGGGATGCTTCGCTGCTTCCGTGTTCGGAAGGGTTTTCCTCTTTCGTGACGTCCTCAACGCCAAGTTGCTGGTGCACATCTACGAAGAGGCCCTTCTGTCCTGGATTCGTTCGGAGATTCCCGAGAGCCATGGTTCCTGCAAGAAGACAATGACCCCAAACACTCGTTCAAGTTGGCGAAGGAATGGCGGGCGGCACGTTCGCCATCCGGCTCACTTGGCCATTGCAGTCGACAGACCCGAACCCAATTGCGAATGTTTGAGCAGTCCTCGTAGCAAACGTGGCTCAAAGAAAATGCCGAACAGAGAACGGGTTAGAACATACCATCAAAGAATGAGCGAGGCTCAGCCGAGACTTCTCCATGTATTTAGCCTTGTATACGTGGTACATACGTTCGCATCATGTTTCTGCACGAAAATAAACCCGTTCGGTATTTTTACAATTATATTTTATTTATTAATTTTTTCCTTAACCCTTTCGTGCATCGTGTCCACTGTAATGGACACCATGCACATATTCTGTTCAGTGTTGCTTTCTAGCGGTGGAACATTGGATTACTACGGCAGAGTACCACCTTTCCCGTTAAACCAAAAATGGCATATTTTTGTTTAGCTTTTAAAAAATTCACGCACGAAAGGGTTAAATCAGGCCTGTAGATTTCAACGCCGCAGTCATCGGGCCTAAACAATAAAAGGGAAATTAAACCATTCATTTATTCATTCGAATAACCTCAAACGATTTCTATAACATAACTTTCCGACGTAAGACATGTTTCCAAAAAAGCAGCCTTTATCCAAAGTGGATGCTTTCACCATCTTTCGACAGGAGTTTCATCCCATAAGCGCTAGATTATATTAATTTCAGATTTAGATCAAGTTTAGCGCTAAACTTAATTTAAATCTGGTTGGACGTGCATACAGAGTAGGAGACGGAGCGGGTGGGAACAAGACCGGTATTACCTATCAGAACGAAAGGATGGGACATCCATGAACGGTGGCGCATCCGAAGGATGGGGCGGGGGGGCTAAAGGGTTTCTCACCCCATCTTGAGACGTGAAAACCATTTAAGAACTACATTGCAGCTCAAAGTATATGAATACTTATGACATTTGTGTGCAATGATCATGGACATTTATATGGTATCGAACACACGATGAGATTTCCCTCTCGTCATCCCAACAGAGTCGGACCTGTCTAAAAACCTTCCCCCTATTATAGGAAATTTTAGCAAGAGTCTGGGCGACGAGGCTTTTTGGTTTTAGATTAGATTAAGTTTAGCAAAGGCTATGGCAAATGGGTTGCTGGCTACTTTTTCACTCCGAGAGCGATCTCACGAATGCTTATTTCTTTAGCACTTTGAGCCCTGGTAATTTGAAAGCGCTATGGGCGTAGGACGTCATATGACGGTTGCAGAGCTCAAAGTGTTAGAAAAGTAGGTTCGAGTGTCCTAATTCAGGTGGTTTTGCCAAATATGAAATCAATATTTTTATATTTAATGTAATACTTAAAGCAATTCATATAAAATATCTCATTTGCCATAGATATTATAACGTAGTCGATTTGATAAAACTTTGCTAGTTTTTTTCTGTATACCGTAAAAAGTAAACTACAATGCTGATAGTTCTGAATACCACAAGTGAATGGTTTCTCAACCAAGTCTTACTCAAACTGGATGCATCAGATTTTTCTAGTACAGTCTCAAAGTATATATTTTTCCATTTTTTTGTCCCATTGCAGACCCAAATTTGAATCTAGTATATTGATGGAATAAAAATTAGAAATCTCAAGTCCATTTTTGTGCAAAAATTTTAATGACCTTTCCCCATAATTAAAATCAAAGGTAAGTCATTTTGACTTTCCCTTTCATGCAAGCTCCATGAAACAGGCATAAGAAAGAGCATGAAAAGAGCTTAAAAATGACAATTTCATCTAGGTTAATCAGGACAAAACTAAGAGCATTTAAGCGATCACCACTGGACCAGAGAAACTTTTTGGCAATATTCAAATCTGTAGGTATCAACAAATACTAGACTGAGAGCACAGAAGTTTGGGGTAGATTGTTACTCAATGGGCCCTACGAGCCTACAAAATTTATTTAAAATCAAGATGGGTTAGGTCAATTTTTTGCATCGATATGCTATGGAAGAATGACCTCTACATAAGGTAGTCATTTTTCCTTCATCCTGGGATTTTTCCTTCATCCAGTTGAATTTCTATGGGAATGTGTCTAAATTATAAAGCAGGAAGCAATCCTACTTGTACATCTGTCACTAACATGTCAATGGCAATATTGACATTGAGGTCCAGCTAATATGCAAAGTTGAACTCCATCTTTATTGATAAGATCTGTAGACCTACCTACAAGTAAAAAAACCAAGAGACCCTTGTGGGATGAAGCACAAAGGATGTGGGCAAATAGAGTAGATATTCTGTGATCACACAACTCCGTATCACAACTCTTCTCTCATGGAAAAAAAGCCAATAGAGGAGGAGAAAGAGAGAAATAAAGAGCAAGAGAGAGAGAGAGATAATAATGATTCATCAAGGGTGGGACATCATTGCAATGAATGAAGGGGATGTGGGGCTTCCATTCAAGGCTGGGGGATTCTTCATCCTCTCTTCATAATGGCCCAAACAAGTGATCCTCTGCTTGAAGTGGGGCAGACACAGCAACATCCCCTCACTTTCTGTATATGTATCCATCCTGCACAAAAAAACAAGTTTCTATTCTTGGTGAAGCTGAACATGTTAAACAATTCTAACACATTGCCTCATCAACCACCTCCATCTTTGCAGCCTCCCCAGCAGCCCCATTAACCCCTCAACAGTGTCAACTGCATATGAGTGTCATCTGATTCCCTCTTACAACACAGAAAAGAACTAATAAACTGCTACCAAGAGGAAGCAGCGATGGTATTGAAGGATTGAAAATCCACTTTTGTCCATCTGTATTGAAATTTATCACTTCACTGACTTGTACAACATTGACTATATAAAAGTTATATGTGGGCTGTCCTGGGAGTTTCTAGCAGTGCTGTCACTTTTTATTTAATTATTAAATCAAATTTTCTCCAAGTAGTCCCCACCACCGCTGATGGTATGGGTCATCCAATAAAATAAATTCTAAAAACAAGATTACGACTCCTCAGGAGTGGCCCTATCCAGGACCTCAGCAGGAGTTCATGAGGTCATCAAAAGATGGCAGCATCTTTGCTTTCAAACCTTCGCCCTCAGCTCTTTGGCCTTGGGAAACACAAAAGAAGTCAAATGGGGCTTTGTCCAGCGAGTATGGTGTATGGAACCACCTGAACCCATGAATCATGCAAAAGTTCAACTGTTCTGGCATAGGGGTTGGTTGGCATTGTCATGTTGCAGCATGATGCCATGAAGTTCAGTTTCAGGACAGGCATTGTTGAGCTCCTAAAACACTGCAGGCAGGCAGACTACAACATACCAATCAGAAGTCAGTCTTCTACTCCACAAGGGGCACAACCTTCACCAAGCCCCTTTGGTGAAAGAATTCTTCAAGTGTACACTTTCCCATGCTCTGTGATCAAATCACTTTTGTGGGAGGATCTTCATCTCTGAAGACCCATTTCAGCGATTGCTACTCTGCTTCAGGGTCATAACTGTATCTCCAGGTCTCAACAACTGTGATTTAGGACTCCAATTTTGACCTCCTTTGTCCAGTTTTTCCAGCTTGAATCGAGCCCAGTCCATTCTGGACTAATTTTGCCCAGATGTCAACAAACACGAGATACAATGACTTGACAGCTTGCTCAAGTGCAGATGTTCATGTAGGATCATTCGTATTGTTGCTGAACCAATGTTCAGTTCCTCAATGAAATCACTCACAGGAATGTGTCTTTGCTCCTTCATCGTGTGATCGACTCGTCAAACATTTACAAAAGTCTGAGCTGCTGATGATTGACCAGACTGTAGATCATCAAATGACCATCACCCCATGCCTTAAATCTCTGAACCAGAACCCAACAGCTGCAAATGATAGCTCAGATTCCCCAAAAGCATCATGCAAATTTTGATGGCACTGGTTGTCAGACAAGCCATGTTAAAATTTAAATAATATCATGATTCATTAGGTCAACTGTTGGAGTTCGCCACTGACAGTAGCCATGATCGCAACCACTGCATACATAACATGCACAGAATGATTCACAATGAGTTGATGGAAACCAAACCTCCCCTGACATGTTCAAACATATTATCCTATCGAATGAAACAATGATGACTCTCTCTGGTCTCATGGTTTGGGTGCTGCTAGAAACTTTCAGAACATCCCACATATTTTTTAATTCTCAAAAAAAACCTGAAAGAGTAGAAAATTAATCTTCAGTTAAGGGGTTAACACTTTGATGGTTGAGCAATTTATAAATATTTTGTCCCTAAATTGGCATTTAAGCACTTTCCTTTAATATGCCATAAAATTTTTAAATAAAAATGAAATTGTTAACATTTTATTCAAACTTTCAGAAAACTTTCTTAACCCTTTCACTGGCAGACAGAAATTTAAATCTCCAACCCTAAACTGACAGAGTATTTAACAGCACACAGGACAGTCCCTCTCAATTTGTCTACTGTCTTCACTAAAATCAAGTATTCATTACATTGTTGTGAATCTATCAAGTGCTAACAAATACAAAATATCAACATTCACACCAGTCTTCTACTTGGATGCCATTCTTAATGATGAATCGCTCAAAGTTTCAGCCACTGCTCATATTAATAGACTCAAGGAAGAAAAATGAGAAAAACCAACTGAACCAATGCTCTTATCTAAGTAGTTTTGGTCAGTGATATTTCTTTTCCTTTTCACATAACAGCCAAGAACATAAAATTCATTAGAATTGAATAAAGAATAAAGTTAACTGGGTTTACAGACTGCATACCCAATTAAGTTCAATACTTTACAATACCACTTGTTTTTAGGCAAATTAAATGTCAAAATAAATAAAAAATGGTCAAGTAGTTCTGGAGACTACACTTTCCACAAGTGGATGCATCCTGGAAGTGTGTTTCTTTAAATTTGACTGTCTTTTGTTCAACAAATCAGGCATTTTGCATCACCAGCTCAACAGTTTCATAACACCTGCTCTTCTCCAACATGACTCGCTTGTTTAGAAGTAAATTAATTCCTGGAAAAATTTTAATATACAGTTGGAAATCCTCCTAAATGATTAGGTTAAGACACTATAAAGTAAAAAGTAGCCAGAGTTTAAAAATAATAGTTATCATTGGTCAAACATGCAAAATGTCTTTTTTTTTTAGCTTGAGTTTAATAATTTGAGCAGGGTTCGTACCCTTGATTTTTTACATATGGGAAAAAATTGATAAAATCAATAGATTCAAAGGAATCAATTCTTGGTTACACACATAGGACAAAGTTTCCTGATGAAAATTCTAGGCATTGTTAGATCATCTCATGTTCCACAGTTACCAGAAGCTTCAAAATTAAACCCATGGCACAGAGTGCCAAAAGACACCCATGCCAGAATTGGACAGAAAATCCCGGACAACAGGAGAAGCCCATGCCAGTGAAAGGGATAATAAGTTATGCAATAGCAACATTTAAAACAAAGTTAAGTTTTACAATCTTGGAACAGGTACCATGCCAGCAACTGTCAGTGTTAAAATATATCCTATAATGGACCTTGGCAATGCTGTGTCTGAGATTTTGTGTCTCAAACCATATATGAGATTAAAAGAATTTATCACACCTTCAAAGAATGGCATATGATGAAACTTTTTTGAAGCTCCTCCATAGGATTCCTTGCCCTTTACCCTTCCCACCAGGAAAATATGTCTGAAAGGAATTCAGCTTGCAAGAACTCTTTCAAGACAGTCTGCACTGGCTGGTATAGTGGTCAATAAAAAATGAAAAGAACTCTGGCTTCTTAGTTCCTCCCCCTCTCCAATTCCATAAGATGCAAATCATTAGCAGAGGAGGAAAGTAAAAAAAAAGAGAGAGGATTTGCAATGAATATTCTAAGACCTACATCCTCAACAGGAATCAGTCATATTACAAGAGCCATTAATAGCACAGTCTCCTCCTATCACCTATGTATCATTGAAGTCAGCTTGAAAACAGAACTCATTGAGCAACTAAACATGCTCAATTATAGGCCAGTTCATCATCTACATCATGGGTCAATAAATTAGGAGCAAATTTAAAAATTTCCATGTCTTTTAAGAGTGCATGGATGTCCATGAAATTTTAATATCCCTCATGCTTGTCTATGGTCTTGTTTCTGCAAAAGTTAGTTGAAATTAATTTCAAGTAGTGTTTCTCAATCAATGTGCCTCAACACAATGGTGCACTATCAGTGAAGCTCAGGTGTGTCATGCAATTTGCATTTCGAGGTTTGTAGGGTGGGAGGGGTAAACATGAGATACAACAATAGTAAATTATTATTTCCCACACATGGCAGCCAAGCAGTGGCATGGCTTGATTGGCATGGGCCCTGGTGCAGAAGATGAAATGCCCCCCACTCCCCCTTCCCCCATCCAGCTTCATATTATTGAACTGTGTTGTTACTGGTATGGTTAAAAAATGTGTTCTCACCAAGAGAAGTGGCCTCTTCCATGCTTTTTGCTGAGCAAAGACATAGATGGTTTTGGAAACATTTAATTTCCTCACTTGTTCATTTCTATGGGTGAAAGAGCAAGTCCGCTGAGACTGTCCTTGCTCGTTCTTGTACTTCTCAAATAACTCGATAACTTTGAGTTTACAAAAGGAGCAGTCCGTGATTGTCACTGTCATTGGCATTGTCCCAAACAGCAGGCATGCTGTAAAAATGTCTGGAAAACTCTAAGTAAGAGTGTGGTTTTCAATTGTCAGCAGCTCAGCTACTTCCTTCACTGTAGGTTTTCTGGAAATGTCTGATTTCAAACAAATTCTGAATGACAGTAGTTGGCCTGGGAGCAAGGGTGACAAGTCAAAGTCAAAATGTTTGACCAGATTTTCTCCAGCAGCATATAACTCCTTGTTGGTTGCTGAAGTCAGTGTGGAAAGGTGAATAGCAATGAAGTGGGCACCACTTCATTTAATTCAGGGTTGCACCACTCAAAAGACTACTGAGGCCCATGTGCGATTTTTACTCACCTACTGCGGGCAGCAGTCTGGCTAACCTTGGCTGTGGCCAACAGGGCAAGAGCCATAGTGGCACTTAAAACACCACCAGTCATGGTGGGCCATGGGCCATGTTGTGTTCCCTTGATTCAATCCTATGAAGCAGCATTCCAGTAGCAAGATGGCTCTGTCCAGTTTTGCATAGAATTCTTTTGTTTATTTTTTACCTTCTTTTTCAGCTCCAGGCATTCATCTCATCCTCTAGCCAAAGGCCCCCAGCCAGTTTCTAACAGAGGGGGGGGGGGAAGCCAAATAATAATTTTCTCCCCTGATATCGTTCAGGTGGGGTTAGATGTGCCTGCTCTGCTGTCCTGCCCCTTCCCCTTCACTTTTCAGTCAAAATATGCCACTGGCCTCAGCCAACTGCCAGTGCTCACTCCCCACCTTTCCCCCTGGGCCACTTTGGCTTGTGGGTCCTGGTGCAGTTGCACTGCAGGCACATGTGATAGCTAAGCCACTGCAGCCAAGGGCAAAATATAGTGTCAAGTCCAAATCACAAGGTGTCGACTGAACTTCTTCCCCCCCCCCTCCCCCCCTTTCCCTGCATAGTTCAAGTAACTTTTTGAATGACACCAATCTCTTTCAGGGAACAAGGCTCTGGATTATCACTTATCACACAAATCTGTTCATGAAAAATAGAAACATCCATAGAAAAACACAGAGGGAAAGAAATGCAGCTGCATGCAAGGCAGCTGCAAAAATTAACCAGTTTTAAGACCACTGATTTGTGAGTGAATCAACTCAGCATTGACTTGAAATCAAGGCATTAGATTTGAAGTATCTGACTTAAAATATAGCTTTTTTAAGCTGGGGTATAACGCAATTGAGTAAAAACACCATAATCTCTCACTGCACAAATAAAGAGCACAAATAAAGAATGTGAGCCAAGTGATGGCTATGATGGTGATCAATTTGTCTCAACTATGGAGTACTAAAAAATGAAAAGTAACTCCTTAACTCACTTCCAGAACTGATTCAAACAGGTTTTGTACTCACAGAAGATAGAAGCTAGTTATGGGATTAAATTATTTCTCATAAAAGCTCTTGTAAAGACTGAAATCACACATTAAATAATAAATGTTAAATGTGCAATTTCAGCCTCAACTTTCTTGTAGTATGGACAATGGGAACACCTGCTTTAGTGTGAAGAATGAGGGTGAGTCAGAGACAACACACATCAACTTTGGTTTAGTTCCAACCCTACTATGCCAAAATCAATTGCAAATTGTTGGCAACAACATTTTAACATTTAAGGTTTCAAATTTATATATAAATATGACCTATTTAAATATTATTATATACAACCCCAATAAAAAATGAACTATGGTGAAGCTTTTAAGCTGCCATACACTTTGAGACAAGGTGGGTTTTGAAGACTTAAAACGAATCGATACGAATCTTACTTTCTCCCATAGAAAATGGTGGAGCATTTTTTAAATATCACCCTATAGGGTAAAAGACCCAGTGATGGACCGGTCCCCAGTGATGGGCCACAGCACATAAAAATTCCAATAGCTAAGCTTCCATAGCAAGCCTACCTATGTTGTGACATATGCTAGCAGTATTCAAGCACATAGACACTTTAGAGGTGTTCATGGAACAAATGCCTAGTTTTTGGAATTTTCCTGCGAAGTGGCCCATCACTGGGTGTTTTACCCTATATGATTTTCCAACACATGAAGATATGAAAGGGATAGTTCGAAAAAATTGATGAAAGTAGGAAATGGAACTGACCTGAGTATGCAGCGGCATTGGGAACACCTGAAGCATGTTCTGTGATAAATGCGGCCATTGGCTTCAATACGCTCCAGCTGATACACTCGCATCTCACAGAGGCAACACTGTTCTCCTTCTGTGGCCTGATGCAATACAATCCCCCAAAATCAAAACACACTGACTCAAAGACACTTGGATTCTTTCGTAGAAATTTATTATTAATATATATGAGAAACACTGCCACCAGCACCATCATTGTGATAATCAACATCAGCAGTGGTTAGGAAAATGAATAGGAGACATAAAATGAGATAGAGAGCATTCAAAGGAGAGGAAAGAGAGGGTGAGATGGTGCAAAGAAGTAAAACACTGTATATGAAAGATTGGGAAAAAGTGAAAGAGGGATCACCCAGACACCCATCACCAGGAATCACTGGAAAAGAAAGAAAAAGGAATTGCATGCAATTCATCCCTTATCAAGAATGAGTAGAGATTGAAAACCCCAAATTCACAGATATATCAGAACATACAGAAATGAATACCCTCTGCCAAAGAAATGACTTCCCTTCTACATCAGGATACTAGGAAAGAATTCAGGGAAGGAGCAGAACCTATGATGAAAGGCACACAAAATTTAGTCAAATGTTAAGTCATAACATTAAGCCATATTTAAGATATTTAATATATCTTCCTGAAAAAAGAAACCTTGTAAATTGTGAAGCCAGATGTGTCACTGTATGCCTCAACCTGAGGGTCTCCCATATTCTTCCAATGGAGAAGTAGCATGACTATGCAGCTCTACCATAGGGGGCCTTTGCCCCATCATCTCAGATATTGTATTGATCCTACATTTGGGACAAGGCATGTAACTCAGTTCTGCAGGAAAATCTTTCATTTATATTCTCCTCCAAGAGCCTATCATGCATATAGCTCCCTGATCAAAAATCATTATCATATCATTGAATTGTGAAAGTAATGGGTACTGGAATGGAATCAAAGCATTTCCTTCAGGAATTGTTTAAAAAGTCAGGAGCAGCATGACAACATATTCATATTGTCCCACATTGGTACATAAATTATTTTTTGGAGTATTTCTGAGCTGGGAAAGGATATCAAGAACAAGATTAAACTATTGTTTAGATAAGTGCAAATTTATTGAGCAAAGAAGTGGTTGAAGCCATACTAGAATTAAAGTTCTTGGCAGAAAAGGTTCTCTCATCTGAAAAGCAAAATGGCAAGAGTTGCTTCCTCTTTAACCCTTTCACCACCGAGCCTGAGTAAACTTGTGTTCCAACTGGCCAGAAATATCACGTAAGTCTATCAGATATGCTAAGATATTACTCAGATACTAAACTGTATTCTTTATTATACATTTAGGAATAAAATGAAATCCATATATGACCCAAAAAACCAGAGTTTTTTCAAGGGACTGAAGTGATGATAAAAACCCAGCAAGGGCAGATGCCAGGCTATTCAAAACTCAGTAGTGAAAGGGTTATTGGAGAAAGCTTTATCAATATGCAACTGTACAGGTATATTAAAGGGCAGAAGGTGACTATGAGGAGGACCTTACAATGAAGCGGTTCACTTTGGGTTTTGGCTTCTCAATAGGTTTTTGACTTTCCACCTGGAGGCACTCAAATTTGGCACGGAGATTCCTTGTTGTGTCGATGGAAGGCAGATCTGTTTCCAGAAGATTCAGCTGATTGTTCTTTTCCACTGTGTCTTCCCAGTGCTCAAATTTCTCCCGTAAACTCTTGGCTTGCTTCAAGCCCTGCACAGCCACATGAAACAAATTACATGCTAATTTTGTCCCCTTTCCATTTTCTAAATTCCAATTCATGGATGCATGTTAGTAAAATGGCAGGTTTCATAATCTGTGAGGGCTATTCCACTAAACTCATGTCTCCAAATGACCTTTCAGCATGTTATCCAGATAAATAAATGGAGGAGCGGGTCCAAGGGAAAGGAGCAGTACTTGGCCAGTTATGAAGTTCTGGAGCTTCTGAATGCTTTACACTTGCTGGGACTTACAAAACTTCCATTGAAGGCCTTGGGGACCACACGCAATATTTTAATTTTAAGAAACACCTGACCAAACTCTAAAGGATGTGGACCCAACTCCATGCTATGTAAACCTATTCATGGCTAGGTTGAAAGAGCAATTCTAGAATTGTAAGCTGAAATCTCAAGTCAGATTCAGACTCAGGTTACATTTCCTGTCTGGACATGACTTAGATGAATTTGCCTCCTGCTTTTTCATTCACTCCATAGTTGTCCTGAAAGTAATTGTTTCACAGGTTCTTGGTTTTACCTCTTTCAAATTACAAAAGCCAATGAATAAACATGAATACCTACCCTTCACAAGCTGTCATCCATCCCAAACCAAACACAATATGCAATTCAGTCTCTTCAAGCATCTGGTCTTCCTATTCTCAAAGGGACAGGATCACACCAAAGAGTGCAAGAAAACTGAAACTTGCACTAATGACATATTCTAAGAAACTTCTCACTGACTATAGCACAGGTCTTGTCTGATTAGCAGTTGGAAAAGTCCCCAGTTTTGTTCAAGTCTCATTTAAAAAAAGGCTCCTTTTTTTGGAATCCCCTCAAAAAGAAGTAGAAATAAAGAAGATTGGATCCAATTGCTCTGATCCATTGAAGATAGGATCCCAATGACATCATCCAGCCTTGGCACTCTTGCCAGAACCCGAAGAAATTTTCATCATTTATTGGCCATCATTCAGACATTCATAATACTCCCATTTCTTACAATCTCTTCATGCCATAATAACACTACTTCATCAGCTGCTGTCTCAGTCACCCACAAATTCCCAACCAGTTCAAAGATGATTTAGATTAGAAGACTTGTGATCCAAAGAAAATGTTGCAGCTAACATTCTCATGGTATGTTTTTCTGGTGGCTTATAAGTCATAACAGCCTGAAACTCTGTTCCCAACATATGGTAAGACATCCCAGTCTACCATGGCTTCCTCTTGTCCCCATCTTGTTCCTACTCTTTCCTTGTCTTAGAATCTGAAAAAGGGTCCATGTCCAAAAGTTTGTTCGTTCTTATTCCTGTGACCTTCACCTCTTTTCTAATAGCCTTTTGCATTTTTAATCTCTATTCTTTCCAGGCAAAGTCTTTCACTCTTTCATGCTTCCAACACTCTGAACTGTGGTGCAAGTGTGAGATTCCCCCTTTCTACTATATTTGCAACTTTTTCTCAATTATTTTACAAACCTTTAGTGAGGTGTCAAAATGAAACCTCTGGAAAAGACTTTTCATGTTTCTGTGATCCATGAATGAGCCTGCATTCTCCAGGTAAAGCATGATATAGTGTTGACACAATAGAATAGGACAAACAAAAAAACTAAACGTTCCTGTTGAGTTTTTGAACACAATCACTCCATTTGGAATACCCCCTTACAAACTAAACCTCAAATTTGGTACCATTATTATGCATTGAACACAAGAAGAGGCCTTGGTAATGGCACAAGACTCTGTGAAAGCCTTGAGAGTTGAAAGACATGATTGATGTTGAATTTGTTAGCCAGAACAGCACAGGGTCAAATGGTCTTCATTTCCAAACTCAATCTTGATCCTTCAGACCAAGATACCTGTATGTCTTTTGCCTTGAGGTGAAGACATCTTCCAATAAGAATGGAATGATGACCATTAAAAAATCCCAAGGTCAAACTTCTGACCAAGTTGAAATTCACTTACCAAACCCAGTGTTCTGCAATGTTCAGCTGTACATTACCTTTTCCATTTAAACAATTCTACAACAGCATTAGAGTCACAGCCTTAACACAGAGAAACAGTGTATATATTTGATGTAGACTGCACAAAAATATCAAATTTTGTCTTAAGAAGGACTAACTACTAACCTTCACCTATGCACCATATCTTGGATACAATTATTCAACCATGATTATTAATTAGAGACACTTTACCACTCTCAAAACTCTCTATTCAGTGATCTAAGTCAAAACTTACCATCTGAACATTCTGTGTACAGAGGCTTTCAATTAGTACTCTAAAATTTCCCTCTGCCCATTTTCCTATCACATTCTTCAACCAGGGCATTTCTGAACTCAGTGTTGCACTTACATTCGAATGAAAAATATTCTGGTCTCAGGAACCCAATAAGCCTGAGGCATCTCAAATGAACTCAATGGATATAATGTTTGACACCAAGTGAGAAAAAAATACCTTGGCATGGCGAAGAGCTTCATCTTCAAATTCATCCAACTCTTCTTCAGATTCCTCTTCTTCATCTTCATCCTCTTCCTCATCTTCAGACTCACTTGATGTTTCTGTGTAGTCAGGTGGGGGTGTGATGCATTTAAGAGGTTTTGGACCTAGATCCATGGCATGACAGGGAGAAGGGCAAGACTGAAATCCGAGAATGGAACTCATGGCAGAAGAAGATGAGGACTAGGAGTACCTTCAGGTTTTTCTTCAAGCTGAGCTCGTTGTTCCAATTCTCTGAACTTAGACAACATCTTGCGGGTGGTGTCAGAGTGCACCAATTCCACAAAGTCTTTCTCTTTGTCATCCATTTTTGGGGCATGGAGCTCAGGAGATGGATCTCTTGCTTCATCTCCATCCCTTGGTGGGGTGATGCGAAACTCCCGCTGCTTCTTATCTGGCTCCTTGTAGGTCTCAAAAAACTTGAAGCGAGCTGAGATGTCACTTGTCTCGACGCTGACATCATCCACCTGATCAGAGGCACGGGCCACTTCATCCATCACTGGTGGGCTCATCAATGGGCTTGATATCTACCAGAGAACAGAATCCACATGATACTACAAGGAGTCCTCCAGAGAACATAGCCAAGGGAAAAAAAAGACAGAACAAAAGAGACAGACTTCCTTGGACCAACGGCTCTCAGTTTTTGCCTTCTTTGGAGACTGCTGTTCAGGTGACTTGGCCAAGGAGGCATCCAACTCTCTAAACAAACTCCGTGCACCTCTTGATACCTCTGTTGAAAAAAAGAAGCCATGAATGACCATTTAATATCTCAATATAATATTTAATGATTAATGCTCAATTTTTTGGGGTTTCCTCCTATAAGTTCTGAGATGGCTATAAGAAAGGCCTTTTGCAACTCCAAGAATGCAAGGCAGCCTATATTAGGTTTCTAGAAGAGACTTGAAAATTTCATTCCATATGCATTTACTTCTTTATTGGCTGGAAGTTCTATATCTTGCAAAAGAGGATAACTGTGGGAGAAGTGTAGGGGTAGGTATACCAGATTCAGAGAATACGATGAGCTCAGACTTTCGCAATTCCTTCTCTTCATCTATGAGTCCTTTCTCAAACTTCTCCCTGATGCTTTGTGCAATGCCTTCCCCTTCCATCAGGATCTCTTCTTTGGGGCATGTTGGTTTGTCCTTCCCATCCTGGTCCTGGAGGATGTTCTCATACAGGGCCTTCACATTCCCAGATTTCCCCTACAAAAAGAGACAATGGGGATCTTCAGCTGAAAATAAGTTTGTGCAATGTATTTGGAACTCAACGCAGCAGTTGAACTCACCCGACAGATGAGTTGGCGGAATTTTGCCTGTTCTTCCCGCCTTTTCTCATGGCTCATCTCCTTTTTGTCAACATGTGGGGATTCCCACTTGGAACGGATCTCATTCAGGCCATGAAATGTATACTCTTCCTTGATGTGCTTCCGGCTTCGGATGACATCATCAGCATCAGCATCAGCATCAGCATCAGCATCATCATCATTCTCACTCTCACTCTCATTTTGTTCTGCATCATCATCTTGAAGCTTTCCATTCAATTCTTCATCTGGAATGCCCACCTTTTCTCCCCCTTGGAACCTATTTAAGTACAGTACACAATGAAATGAAATTTATTACTAGAATTTGCCTTCTTGATTGAATATGTCTGTTGAAACCAGGCCACTGAAATGGAAAAAAGGTGCATATGGAAAAAGTTCAATTCTTCAAGATCATTACAGCTCACTGGGGGAAAAGAAGGAAATCCTAGAAGCAAGCAAACAATCAAGTATATTGGCATTGATACTGGGTAAAGATTATCAAAAAAAGAGGGCTGCTTATCATCTCTGCAGGGTGATTATCCTCATGAAGAGTGATGATTAACTGGATCTCCTCAGAGTGCAAAATCAAGGAGTGTGGATAAACTGTACAACTAAATCACCAACCTCTTGCCTTGATGCAATACACCTTATGAGCATAACTGAATGCAGAAGAGATGGAAAACAAACTTGGCAATGCGATTCAGGATACTGGGAGACCTCTTCACGCTGACATTTTCAACATGCACATCTTCCTCATCATTCTTCAATTGCTCAAATGCAAGAAATTTGGAGCGCACATCAGCCAGGTTGGCCAATTCCTCAAGACCATAATCCATCTTTTGAGAAGATCGAACCACATCCGCTGGGAGGTCAACAGGTTCATTTTCCCGAATGATCAGTTCTGGCTCAATAGGAACTGGGGAAAGAAAGGAAAACATAGAGCATATGCAAAATTTGAAGTGAAAGTTCAAAAGCATCAGTAAAAAATGTGTATTTGCATGCTTTGGAGATTCCAGGACCCCTTTAGTAGTTCTAGGTTCAGAAGTACTGGTGTATGAAACAAGGAAATTTTCAAAAGCACTGTTGATGCAACCCATCAGATCAGAGCCAGCATCTTTACTATATGACAAGTATAGATTTGAGTCCACAGGAAATGGCTAATCCATTTATACTGTATGGAATTGCTGTGAGATGTGCTCAGGAATTTTGTCATGTCTCTCAAAGCACCAGTACATCACTTCATGGTCCCAACTCATTCTCAATGTATATAGGGTGACCAGAAAGTTCCCAGACACTTTAAAAAGCAAATATTTTATTTAAAGCAACAATAACAATCATTTTGACCAGAGAAAATGATAAGACAGACAATTTTTAAATAATACAATCAAACATTTTCAAAGTGTCCACCCTTTGCTTTGATGCACTGCGTCAATCATTTTGGGAACTGATCAATGATTGCACACAGCATTTCGACGGTGATACATGCTGCTGATATGGGCAGCTTGCAAAGACTCCAAATTTTTGTGGGGCTTAGCACAGATCTTGGCCTCCAAGATACACTAAATGGAGTAGTCCAGGGGGTTGAGGTCAGGTGAGTTTGGAGGCCAATCCATGCATGATATGAAATCAGGACAAAGTTCTCCACACCATTGCTGTGTGAATTTTGCCTTGTGGGTAGGTGCCGAGTCTTGTTGGAACGTTCAGGATCATTCCACAAAGTGCTCCTGTGACCATGGCAACACAACATCTTCGAGAATGACATGACAGTAAACCTCTTTATTGATTTTGATGTCTTGATCGATGAAAATCAAGGGGGTTTTGCCTGTTGTTGTGATACCTGTGCAAGTCATCAGCGATTGGGGTTTTTGTGTCCAGCAGATCATATGCGTTTCTCCAGGAGACTGTTTCGCCCAAATCCTGTTGTTTTGATGATTGTACACTTGCTCAATGGTGAACAGTTTCTTATTGGAGAACAGAATCTATCTGTGTCCCAGATGGGCAAACTTCTGTTTCATCTTACAACATCTTTCAAGTCTTGTGGCCTTCATTTTATCGGTCAGGAGATGCACCTTCTGGAGCTTATAGGGACCGCACCTATAGCTTATAGGTGCGTGACCACTCGGAGGATGGTTGAGAGTGTCGCCTTGCTCCTTGAAGCATTTTATGACATCGTAGATGGTCGATCGAGGAACTTTCAAGAGTTTCACGATGTCAGCTGGTCTTTTTCCCAAGCAAAACATATTCACAATTGTGGAGCGACTTAAACTTAAGCGCCTTAAAAAAATTTTTGGACATGATATCCAAAAACTGACTTTTACCAGAGAAAGGTATAATGCTTTTTTAAAATTCACTCTGCAGAAAAATTAACCTTCCCAGTGAAAGTAACTGCCCTTTGAAAAGGTATCCGGGATCTTTCTGGTCACCCTGTTAAAATCATTTCTAAAACTCAGTGCACTTCTGCTGGAAAATGGACAATTTCTCAATACACAAGACTTGTATGGAAAGAGACAGAAAGAGTACATGGAGAATGCTCACCTGGGTCATGAGAATCCACAATCACAGCCTTAGGTTGAAATAACTGCTTGAAGTGTGGTTTGCAATAGATCTCACCCTCATGACTGCAATATGTATCCACCCTGAATCAATGAAGGAAGAACAGGATGCATGACTTAAGATTTCTTTTTATTCCCTTTCTTGCTGAGTTATGCTTGTGCACCAACATACGTGAGGACTTTTTGACATTCTCTGCATCGAAGGCAGTTTTTGTGAAAGACACCTTTAGCAGCCTTGACTTGCTCCATCTGGAAAACTTGCTTCCCACATCCCCAGCACTCTTGAGATCCACAGCCTTCATCTGTCGTCTGAAAAATAAAAAGGGGGGGGAGCTATGAACCCATTCATCTCAGAGTATGAGAATATCCACACTCAAGCATGTTCACAAATCTCTTGTACAGTTGACACTAGCTGTTACGAAATTCAAGGGGGGGGGGTTGTTTTCCCTTTGTATTTTCAGTTAAACATTGCAATGATGTGCTGAAAAATAAAATAAAATTTTCACTATACCTGAAGATGAAGTAAAAACAAACTTCATGATTACTTTGGATTAAACAAACTACAGTATTACTTTGGGCATGAGCATGACAAACTGAATGCACAGATTGTCTGCTTATGCATGAAGGTAATACGTATATTTCTACAATTAAAACCATTTACCTGCTAACTTATTGGCTTGTTATGGGACTGGCATTAAAATTGTGCAATTTCATAATGAAAGTTTGTTTATGGCAATTGATGGAAGAAAACTACTTCATTGCAAGGTATATTTCGTAATATTGCAATGAATTACAATGTTTTATCATTTGTACGTGGAGATGCTTTGACCAACCAAATGTGGATATATTTTTTGTTAAATGGTGTTTTTAGTTAAAGCATACTTCTTTATAACAAACATGAACTGTATTACTGAACTCAACTGCAGCAAAACTGCCTGTAGATACCATCCCATTACAGACCTGACTGGCTGTAACTGGCTGTAACTGGCTGAGAACAGAAGATTCAGAGATATAAAATATCACATCAACACTGGAAAACAAAATGTACTAGGGAAAACTCTTTTACCCTCTTCAGCTAGCAAACTCAAGATTATTGCCACAAAGCTCACTGATACCTTTTAACACTAAAACTTCAATATTTCAGGGCATTTTAACCCATTCTGACTGATGAATTAGGCATAGACTCGGAAAACTCCAACAAATCTTGAATTCTTCAGGAATATGTGACAGAAGGCAGAGAGCTATAAAGCCTGATCAGGAAGTACAAAATAACATTGCAACATGGAATCCCAGAGCTGGCAAATGAAATCAGGAATTTACAGAACTTTCTGAAAGAAAAGAAACATAGCATAAAATATAATTGCATATACATTTCCTACTTGGAAAAAAAGAGGAATACAAACAGACATGACCATCAGTGCTGAGGGCAAAATGTGAACATGGTACGAACCTGATTGAATTTTTGGGCAACTTTGTCTCTGTCGATGCGAGTTCTGATGATGCGTCTTGCAATCTCTCCTCCTGTGTCCCCCTTTGTAAAGCTGCTCTTCTGTTTCCATGATGAAGAAAAACAATCTCCATTGGAAAGTGAACCACATACAAGCCAACAGAGAGGGGCTCAGACTTCAGTTTCATTTTTTAAACTAAGTTTGAAATGAAAATTTTGATGGCTGTTTTGGCACTGAATTCATCTAAGGGACAGAGAAAGTAGTTGACATTCCAACATACCCTTAGCCTAAAGGAGTCATATTTCGTGGGTAGAAATATATTTCCCTCCTCTCTCTAAGCCAGAACAAAAATAAAGAAGCAAAATTGGAGCATGAAAAGGAAATTTAAAAAAGGACAGGGTTGCAAAAAAGAGTATTTCAATTTTAAGAAACTCTCCATATGAAGACTAATGTAAGGGGTAACCAATAGTTAGAAAGTGTAGCTGGGATGTGCAGGAGTGCCCAAAGGGATCTCATCTCAAGGTGAACCTTCCATAACTTCATTAAGGATAATATGAATATGGAGTGCATTTCAAGTTTGTTAAAAAGATCTTGTTAATGAGGCAGTTGCATTTCATATTCCCCAAGGATCCCCATATCTATGAGTTCATAGAATCATATGTAATAACAGGGTGCACACAAATGGTTTGTGACAGCTTATTCTTATTATGTGAAAATAGTTTATGAAATCAATGGAGATCCTCATCTATGAAAGTAAGCTAAATCCCAAGGGTCCTTATCTTTCATGAGATCGATAGGCAGCCCACATAACACCACACTGATAACCATGTGCCTCACATGGCTGTTATCATGAACAGGTGTTGCTCTTTCTCTCCTGCTTAGAAGTTGAGTGGGAAAAGATAATGCAACAGCAAGCCAATCACTCAATAATCTCAGCCATTTTGATGCCGAGAGAAGTAAGCTAAAGTTCCAAGCGAGTAGCCATGCTTGACTGCAACACACAGCAGATACAGCATCAGCTGCATGGAGCTCACATGCATATTTCATTGGGCTCAGGAATTAAATTAATCTTCAGCAAGATTGTCCAACAGAATTTTTCTTAAAGTGGTATCAGAGCTCTGCAAATCACTTCTTGTTGATAATAAAGTCATATAGATTATTAAGCTAGTTTGGTTCATGAATCAGTTGCAAGAAATCAGAAAATGTCTCAGGCTTCTCTGAGTAAAACAATGAACATTTTACCCATTACCCATATTAAATTTTTTACTACAGCAGCTCCTTGACACATTAACTATACTGTACTTTCAATAAAGGACACAAAGTGATACTTGTATCTTTGACACAGACATAGCCTTTTAAACCTGAAAATCTTAGGCAATGCAGTAAAATGATACAATTAACTCTTAGACTCCAAGCAGACAGTATATCAGCATCCATTTGGACGAGCTGCCAATATATTGGCTTGTAAGTTTTGTTCTGTTTCACAAGCAATCCCACATTTTAAATGTCTTATACAGTCAATACAAAACTAGAACTACTTCTGCTAATGAAATATCTTCAAACTGAGGGTCCATTTGTTAGAAGAAAGACGTGTTTTCAGCAATTTACAAACCCCTATTTTGAAACAATGAGGATAACCATGCCCACTACTTCTGGTAGGCCTTGTCGCTTTACCTCAGATCAAGCTAGGACTTTTCTTCAATAAAATAACTTTTACTGATGATTTCAAGGACAATTTTGGATAGGCATTTCAACAATATTCATTTTCCTGTCATTTTGGAGTGTTTGCAGTGGAGATTTATCATGGGGGGCAATGTTAGGACTTGGTAAGTCATGTTTGTATGAATATTTTTTTTATCTTGTCTCTCATCCTACCATCCTTTGACACTGTAAAATTACTTTATTTTTCTAAAAACCATAATATTTTTTTGTAGAACATGAATCTACATCCATTTCCCTTTTCTACGATATATAATACCATGTATATTTCGATAACCGAGCAAGCCAAAACTCATTTGCAAAAAACACCCACATTACACTTTCTTGCAGCCATTTTTACTCCATCCAAACCCTGTTTTTGCTCCAGAGACAAAGAGTTAAGGAAGGCCATATCCTTTTGTGCAAGTGAGAGCTAAGAAGCCTCCTGAAAGGGATATCCAGGGTAGATTATAATTTTCTGCTGTCCCTCTACAGGCAAAATGAAAAGTGTTACAAGTCTCAGGTTGGTGTAATTTGACAGCTCATCTCAAATGGAACCCTTTTGGTGATGATTTTAAAGTGGACAAAGGTAAGGGTGGTACAAAAGTTTAAGTTCATAGCTTTTTACTAAGTGCATGACATCATTAGACTAAGTCAACAAAGATTCTAGTTGCTGTGTAAAATCTTGCAACCTTATGACAAGTTCATACTCATGGTGTATGGCAAGCTGGATGCTGCAACTGCATTTTTTTCTCAAAAATCCAATGGACGCTGACATTGAATTTTTTTTACCATAGTATGCAGTTTCAAAATCCAGCATGCTGTACAGCAAGAGTATGAACTCAGCCTTATTGTCTTGAAAGGCCATGATTGAACAGCGAAGTTACAGCATGAGAATCTTCAGTTTAGGATAAGGCCTTATCACTAAATCACTCAGGAGACATCAACAATACATTCTATGGGCCAAATGCTGAAACCTACTTTAGTAAACAGTCCTTCAAGAAAACATGGACTCCTATGGGGGAAAATAGAACTCTTTAGCTTAAAGGCCTCTTAATCGCCCTTAACCCTTTCAGTCTGGGTGGAACCCAGGAGTCTTGCACTTTCTTTGAATATGTCATAGGGCTACATAGGAATGCCCAACTTTGAGGCCATGGTGGGATTCTGAGTCCTTGTTTATAGTAGTTCATCACATGTTATCAAGATGACAGCAGTCCACAGTAATATAGCGTTGCTATATTTCCTCTGGTACCTCAAAAATGGTGTCATGATTTATATTTATTTCAGCCAAGACATTTCTTTCGCAGCTAATTTTTTCTATGTTTCTGCAAGATAGATAATGGAAAGTAGTACAGAAATACTGGGAAACATATGACATAAAATGGGGGTACTAGCTGAACTAATTAAATAATTTTATTAATTTAATTCAATTAGATAATTAAAATAAATATTTAATTTTACTCAAGTAACCATTTTAAAAGCACTCTCATGTTACATAAACCTTGTTGAAGTCCAAAAAGTAAATGACATTTTTTCCATGCCTAGAACATTTTCAGGACTGAAAGGGTTAAATGAGGTTTGTGCATTCAGGCCTAAATCTCATTGCCTAGACCAATACCTGCCCTCACCTGCAATTCAAAAGATTTGACTTTCAACTCTGTATCTTGAATTCCTCACTTTGCATGATGCTAATGGAACTGAGCATTGGCCTCAAAGTCTATCTCAAAGGAAATTTGTTAACTAATCTATGTTCATGCATAAAATGCATTAGATAACGAAGTTGAATACTGCCATTTTATCCCCTTCCATTTTGGATATTTATTTCCCCTCTCTATTATTCGTAATAATCCAACAGACCCATTCACCCTTTCCTGAATTATATGAGAGAAGCACTGACTTTACAGAATTAACAATCAGAATATATTGTCGAGTAGACAGAGATGATGAGTGTAGATATAGTCAAACTCCATTTTACAACTTGATCAAACCCACAGAAAGACTAGATATATTCATGCACTGCATTCAATGAAATCCGACCAACAACAGAGCAAGCAGACCCAATAACAACCAGGTTTGAAAATGATCCCCATCCCCGAACATTACTCCCACCACCAAACAACTGGTTTTGGGATGCTAAAACACCTGACTTCCAGGAAAAAAATGTCAGGCAAGTAGCTTCAAGAGAGAATAAGAATGGAGCAAACTCATTATTGATTCATCTGCAGACCACATCCAATGCAATACAAAGAACTGTCTGCTAAAGAATAGCAGACAAAAAGGGTCAACAAAGTCTGTATAATGACCTGATAGGTGTATAATTGACAAACATCCTCATAGGGAAGTCCTTTGCAGGGAACAGTCATGATGTACAAAATTGAAGGGAAGAGGTACAGGAGAAGAAAAGAAAAGGAAAGAGAAGGAAAGGAAAAGAAGGGATGGGGGAAAGACCAATGAAGTCATATCCACTTACCAAGGAGCTCACACGAACTCCTGTGTGAATCGATGGCCTCTCCTTCACGTCCGCTTTCATTAGATTGCTGAAGCTGGCACACTATCAAGTCAATGACATATACACACACACATGCATCAACCTTCATATCTGCATGCCAACAGACCTAGATCTACATTTGGACAGCCTTTGCAAATTTCCAGGATCCCTCTTATCCTATCCAATAGTACACAACTGGAACATAACTAGCCATGGTTCTCTGAGAGGGCCATTGTCAATTAGTCCCTTGAATAAATTACATTCTTTGCAGATACTAGTGATGTGAAAGATTTCCTTCTCAATCATTCTTACTCAAACTGATGTCACATTCAATATTGAAATATTGCTGTTTGCTTTTCTTGATGTCTTTCATATTCACCAGTAGGCAGAGAGGAGAAAGTTGGAATTTCCATGTTACTTTTTATTTTCTCAAGTCCAAATTAGATAGAAAGGTTTTCCTTTTTTAATGGAAATCATGAGAATACTTGTGCAGATGAGATGGTAATTATAATTAAGGCACTAGTATACTCTTACATAGGGATAATCACACTTTCCATAGAGATACAGTATATCCCATTTCAAAGACTAGTTCAATCATCATACTGCCTGGAAATCCAAAGAAACAAGAACAATAACTCCCTCTTCTCAAAGAAAAATATAACTCATTTGCAATCATTTACTCCTGTTGAATAGGCATCAACTCTGGACATGATTGTGCTGTCTCATTGAAGGGTATCCTATTGCCCAAACTCACTAAAATGGCAGAAGACAGATTAAGTTTGTAATGATTATGCACAAGTATGCTGAGGTTCATAGCTTAGTTCATTCCCCCATTCATTAGCCAGGGGCTACTTGAAAATTGGCTCCATTAGACTCAAAAAGACCTAGCAGTTTGTCATTCCTGACCTTGAATATGAATCTTAACATCCTGTAATGTTCTTCAGGAAAGAGACAATTCTTCAATGAAGAACAAAGCCTCTTTGCTGCTTGTTCTAGCCTTTTACTCCAACTGGAATATAGGGGAAATTATTGTATATTTCTTCTTTTGGGTTCTGAGACTTTTTCATGAGAAAAGTGTTATTGATTCTGCAATGCATGATCCTCTCCTGCAAGCTTCCTGCAATAGCATTGGGAGATATATTTAGTTACCCACTTAGGTGATAAAATGTGAGAGAGCATTTATCTGCAAACATCCTCTAATCCAACTTCTGGATTAGGGATTTCATCTGTAGGAGGTGATTAAATGTTGTTTGCCCATAAGGGAACTGGAAAAATAACCTTTCCTCTGTCATGGTCTGGCTGAGTCTCTCCAAGGAATCAAATCTTGCTTATTCATTTTGGATGTACATGGTATAAGTGGCATGTACATGGCATAGGCCTCCAAATGAATTTAACTCTGAAGTCATCAAAGATGCTGCAGAATAGATTGTCTTTCCTTCCCTTCTTCCATTCTGCTTCAGAATCCCTCCTGCCAGCAAATCCTCTTTAAACCTTTCATACCTGTTGGTTCAGTTTGGAACCATAAACTTTCCTAATTGTTTAAATCCATTGTATGCATGCCTGCGAGCTATCATCAGCATTAACTCATCAGACCGGTTCCCACCAGCAAGATTAAGATGACAATAGCCTCATTTTATCAGTGCAAGTCTAGTAAATGTCTTGTAAGAGGACATTATTATCCTCTATGTGAATCTGAGGTAAGGTAAGTTCCTTTTTCTAAAAATTCAGGCATGAAAGGGTTAAAAGCAGCTGAACTCACAGCAAATTCTCTTCACAGATGCAATACTCATGCTGATGGTGTCCCTTAGGAATTTTCCCTCTCTTCAGAGAACACTCATTTTCTGATTTGAAAGGTGATTTCTACGTTCAGCCTTTGTTATGGGCACAGGCAATATCCAATTGTTCCCAAGTCCAGGAAAATGAAAAACACCTTCCAAACAGGACACTACAATAACTGAGCTCAAGCAATCTTGACATATGGAAAGATATAAAAAATCGATAAAGTTATTTATCTTTTTGACATTTCTTGTTGTAATCAACATAGACAACATTCACAAGCCAGACAGTTCCAGAAGTCTCAGGGAAGACCATCAAACTAAGTACAGCAAATTCAAGAAAAACCCTGGCAACTTGAAATAAACTTTAGAGCAAAACTGAATAATCATGGTACTTGATGGCATCATCATAACAGCATTAACCCTCTTGCTGCTGAGAATCTCCCTCCCTCCCTCCTTTTTGTGCACAGACCAAGCAATGATATATTGTTGTCTGGCACTAAAAGGGTTAAAAACCCCTTCAAGTCCATTTTTGTAAAAACTTGGTATGAAAGTGCATGTAAAGGAGCAAAAATATTTTAAATGAGTACTTTCCACAGTTTGATATTTTCATGCAATCATGGTTTGACTGCATGGCAATTAAAACTAAGATGTAATTATTTTATGGATTTTACCTGAATGTACAGTGTTTCCAACAATTACCTTTCTCGTGTCTCTCACCTGTTAAGCTATGCATGCCATTTCTAATCAAATGCATGAAAATTTTTACAATTTGTTCAGAGATTCAACATACTCAGCTGGAGTAGAATGGGTCAAATCTAAAAGGCTCACCAGTCCCATCATGTCACTGAAAAGCACCCAGAGAGGGCTGTCAGCAGTGTATCATGCATTTTGTGATTTTAAGAAAAACATGCATGAGAGTGAAAGCAGTATGCATAACAGTAGTGACCCTGAATTGAAGTAGTGTTTAAAATGTCTAATGGTTAATTTTAAAATATATACAAGTAAAAAAGAATGCCAAGGTGGTACATGGAAGCAAACCAAGTGCTGAGATGATAAAACTCCAATTCCTGCAGTTTCATACAGAATTGCATACCTTTACAGCTTTCTTGAATATCTACAAGATACAAATTGAAACATCTACTCAGTTGGAAATTATTCATGCACTTGGTTGCACTTCTGTTGCACAAGTCTCTATTATTGATAGATAAAAAGTGAAAAAATAAAACAAGGACTGGCACAAAAGTTATTAGAAATGATTTATTAACACTTTTGCTGCCATATGACCCACCAGCAGGTCATATGATCTCTCTTCTACTGGGTCATACATCTTTCTGGCAGATTTTAAGGCTCCCTTCTAATGCATCATATAAACCACCAATGGGTTCTTTACATTATTTTGCTTTATACTGTCCAGAATCTCGTGGGTTCTCCTTTTGGCCTTTCAAATTTTATCATCGCCTCCTGATGAGGTCAACTAAAAAAAATTGGCAGTTTCTTGATTTGTACTTTTTTAAAATTAATTATTCAAGATGAAACTGCACAAGTTTAAATGAAAATTATAGGTTTTCCAGGTCAAATGTGGACAAAAGGTCAAAGGTGACAAGGAAAGTCAAATGTGTTGCTGAGCTATTTGAGAGTATAAAAAATGACATAAGGAAGATCAAATGCAAAGCTGTGGTGAATGTTGGATTTTAGGGAAAAGCATGTTCGACATAAGGAAAGTCAAATGTGACAGATACACAACGTATACCATACCCATGTTAGGGGGATGCCTTCTCCTTGCATTTTCATGTGTGGCTTCAAGTACATTTGCATATGATGCTCCTATTGCAAATAACATTATTTGGTAATTATCAACACTTCGGGGTTAGTCCTGGTAATAAGCCACCACCATGCTGTTTCACTGCAGTGAAGGGAGCCAGGAAACTGCCATGATAAATGACTATTTATCTCAAAAAACTTCATTCCACTGAGATCTTTATTGCTAGGGTCAATTTGATCCCATGATACCACCTACACAATGAAAAAAAAAACTAGGATACCAGTTGAGGGTTAAGGAGAGCCCCATATCTTCCTCTCAGTTTTTTCATTCGTGGAATCTGTCCCCCTGCCCCAAATGGTTGGTGGTTGCATATTCATATAACTAACCCTGACATATTGGTAATTGCCAAATAATATTAATTGCAAAAGGAACGACATGAAAATGCACCTCAAGCTGCAACAAAAATGTGAAAATGCAACAAAAAGGCAATCCCCCCTAACATGTGTATGCAGTGGTCTTTCAGAAGAAAGATTATTTCATAAACAGCTTCAAGTCACAAGGCACAAAGACTAGCAAGTACAAAAGATTTTAGAGCAATGTCACTCCATGAATGCCTAGGAATTCCAAGGTACTATAATGACACTGATTGATTGCTATTGGTCTCTACAGAGAAGCACAAAAAGGGCCTCCAAAGTTTACTCATTACAGCTTGCTGATGGCCATCCACTGCATTTGTCATCTCTTATGGATTCTGACCCTTTGTGAAATTGCCTGTGCCCCTCACACATGAAAATTAGGAGGACTATTTTCGCCTCAGAGATCACCAAAAAAGTGGTTTGGCAGGAATGTGTTAATACTCCAGGAACACCCTTTATTTATACACTCTACTGAGAGCCCATATTTCTCCTCCCAATCCCCATCCTTGCACGTTGCATACACACTTTCCCATTGGAAAGTTTACACACACATTGAACCAGATGATAAAGATTTGCCTGGGCTGTTGCATCAATTGCATAACATATTGAACAGTGAGCATGATCAACAAATATATGACTGTGTAGAGTGGAGAGTTATATGACTTATGACTGGCTCCGGAATGACAGTGAGAATCATTTCTATCAATACTTATATTCCATTTAGGCCTGTCTCCAAAGAAACACTAGGAGGCCAAAACCTTGTCACCTCTCACTTGACATTCTTTCTAGAACATGTCAAGCATTAAAATAAAGGAATATGGGAAAAAATCTTGAAACGCTCTTTACATTTATGATAGTAAATATTCCCTTCCAGTAAAAGTAAAAATATTCCCTTCCAGTAGCCTGAACAGAAAGTATTTCAAACAATCCTCAATTAACACAATTTTGATGACCCTTAGAAACTTGATATCTCTTCCATGGCCTGCAGATGTCCATACCTAAAGCATGTAACAAAATTAACTATAGCACAAAAGTACTTTGCTGAGCAACTGGTTTATGTAGGAATAGGCTCTACATTATGCTTATTTGCATAAAAGTTCTATAGTACCCTATTATGTTGGATTCTAGATGAGGGACTCCTGTAGGCTACAAGAGAGATTTCACATCTCTTTGCATTATACCATTTGAGAAAGAAGTCTCAAAATATCAGTACCCTGAGGACCTTTAATATCAACCAATGAGATCCAACAAGATAGAGATGTCCCATACCAATTAAGAGATTGTGCCACACATGCATGGCAGATCATGCATGTAATGATGCAAAGAAAACCAATACAACACAGCAGCATTCTCAATTTGAAGACATGGGAATATACCACAGGCATGTACCACAAGATCACTTACATCATGACTATTGTACATGCATCCTCCATGCTAATAATAAGCTTTTGGATTGGCAGCACAGATATCATGCAAGACCCAGGTTACCCTAGATTCTCTTGTTTGTTGTAGATTATTCTTCCATGTGGCATTGCTTACAGGAGGAGGATGATCTGGCAGCATGCACCCAAAGCCCCAAAGCGAAGAATGCCATATGCTGTGCAACAAAAATGAAAATCAGATTCCCTGAACTGTACCCTGAAATGGCATCTGATAATGTGCTTCATGTTAACAAGAGCTTTCCCCCAGATTTGGGATGCTTACCAAGGCCTTGACTGAGATCCCTGTGAAGATAGGTTCCCTTGTTCTCTCACTCAAGTTCCCTCCATTCAGCATGCCTGTACTCAGGGACTTCTACAATGAAATCCATATCACCTCCATCTCTTCTTCCCTTGCTACTCTCTACTCTACACTACCCACATTCAGCTACTTTGGATCATCTCAATCCCTGTTTCATGAGTGCACTCAAGAGAAGAAAGTGGGAAATAGAAGAGTACATGAGAAGCAATTTCAGAGCCATAGACAATGGAGTCATCTAAGATAATACAGGGCTTACAAAGTATCCTACATGAGAGTGGCACAAATCTGACACTGACACAGCTTCCCTCTAATAAAATTCATTCCTAGCTGTGGAGTTATACTGTACCAGCAACTATTGCAGGAGCACACAGCACCAAGTTATCTAGTATTGAAGATTAAATAAACCTAATTCTCTAGCAGTGAAATTACAAGTGCCCAAGTCTATCAGAGTGATTAAATACCGCTCTCATTCAGCTCATATTTATGAAAGATGAGTTAATAAAGTATATGTTTTTAACTAAACATAGTGCACATTCACAGCCACAAGATTCTAGCTTTCAGGAGAGACTCTTCTGATCAACATTTCTGCCATCTGAAAGGTTATTTTGATGCATACAATTTCTACATTTATCAAGGCAAAAGATTATATGCTATGAAATGCAAGGTAAGGTAAGGCAATGCATTGATTTATCAATAACCTGTTTTGAAGTAAGTTTTTCATATTGAGAATCTTGAGTGAGAGAATGATCTCAATCATATCTGGTTTCAACAATACTCAGTACTCCCTTTTATAGAAACACCAGAGAAAACTGCAAGAGCAATACTACTCTCAATACTGGTTTGTCAAAGCTTGCCAACCTCTTAGGAATCATGACAATTTTCCCATGACCATGAAAGACTGAGGACTCACCACCTTATTGAAGGAGTGAACCTGGTGCTCCTCATAATTGGGGGTTTCGGTCTTCTCTGTAGGATTAGGAAGACTCAGTGGATCCTAAGAAGATCAAGTAATACCATGCCATTAGTTCTGATGAAGCCAATCAAGGATTAGAAGTGGTAGTGATGGATTTTTTATGGATTGAGAGCATTATACATTTTTCAGAATGACAAGGTTACAGTACACAAGGAAAGGCAAAATGTGCTCTTAAAAAACTGAGAAAATATGAGCCTCTGATTCTAGGGAAAAAATTATGCATTTCATCCAAATCAGCCTTGACTCAATGAAACACCTTGTAACCAGCAACCTGTCAAGTGCAGAATTATGATTGAAACAAACATGAGCATTATAGTTTGAGACTCATGATTTTGAGACTATTTGAGTGGTCTGAAGACATTTGGTTTTAGTTGAATGGCTCCACACTGAAAATTTTTCTTTAGATGAGTCCAGATCTCTCTCACCTGAGGTGTTAAGGGCAGCTTGAGCTCTGAAGCTTTCATGTCCCAGAGAATTTCCTCATTATCCATTGAGGAGGACCTATTTCTTATCATTCCATACTTTCCATAATTCTCTTGACCATAATTCCAGAACTGGTTTTGCACAGGAGAGATGCCCTCATCTGAATTCCAATCTTCTTTTACAACTTCCTCATTTTCACTTTCCTCAGTTCCATTGCCTACACTTTCCACTGCATTCACCTGCACATGAAGATTTTCTCTCACAGTTCCCAAACCACACAAACATTGTCCGTAATGCCAAAAATTGCTCCACAATTCACATAATTTAATGCTGTTTATAAACATATTTTTTAAAGCTCTTTAGATGACCTTTTCAGGATGGACAAATTTCTGTAATAACAATATGAACATTAAAGACTAGTACACAGTCCTACAAAGGAAATCTGAATGATAATCTTGATTAGTACCATTGAGGTTCTGATCCTTTGCATCCTTCCTTATGAAGAAGCTACCTGTTAAATACACCCTTGAAATTGCATTGTTGCATACACAATGATGTGTATGGGTTTTCCATGCATAAGAAGAATACACACATTAAGATCAAAACCACCTCTTCATCCATTAATAACATCACTCCCAGTTCAAATATAGCATGAAAAAGTATTCCCTTGCCAATGAATACAGAATAACACAGGAGCTATAGTATGGATCCCTGTTTCAAGTCTATGAAGTGTTTATAACTATGTAGCAAATTATGAAATGAGACACAGAGTGGCATTATAGGTAATGCAAATGATAACTCCCTATGCATGCCAAAGGCTTGTTTTTTAACAGAAGAACATATGATTAATTTAGTCGATGTTGAAAGAAGAAGATTGGTTGCAGTTCTCCCCTGTCGAATTTAGACGTTTTCCATTTTGAAATTCATGCCCTTCTTATCCAAACAATGTTATATTGGATTTTGGTAGTGACTAGAGAGATATATACACTGCATGTACACCTTTCTGTTCCCTGTACAAGGCAATGCGAAAGGCTGGATGGATTTTTACATGTTTCATTTGTAACACAGCAGGACATTGACCCATACACTGGGCCTCCATATCTAAAGCCTCCTGTTCTCTACTGTTCACAATCACCTCACCTAGACTTCTATTTGTCTTTCATTATAAAAAATTGTTAATTTTATTTTGCATTTCATGTATGAAGTCTTTCAGCCTTTCTTGAAAGGTCAAACCAATCCTCTCTCTAAGGTGCTCATGACTGACGTGACATGACCCCCACACAAAAGTCTATTGGGGTGACATGTCAGGTGACCTTGGAACTCATAGGATTGGGCCACACCATAACTTGTGCCTTTTCTTGGAGAGTTATTGTTTGAAGAAAGGAATCTGCTGATCATTGAAATGCTTGAAAGCCTCAGGAAAAACAAGCAAAAAAAACTTGAGACTCAAGGCCATCCAATGTTTCCTCCAATATTCAGGTTTGTTTACTTTCTGAATTTAATAAATGTGATACTTGTCCAGCCTTTTGTATTCAACCTGTACCTTTCCAGTCCTTTTACAAAGTTCTCCAATCATGTAGGCCAAAACCTTAAGCCAAGTAGCTGAGACAGTTGGATACTTATCATCTGCAACAGTATTTCAGTAACTGCATGAATAAAATTTTCCAAAGCTCATCTCCTAAGTCAAAAGGATGGCCCTTGCTAGACTTCATATTCTCTCAGGACAACTCACAAGTTACAAACCCTTATGGTGAGTTCATCTCCCTAAGATTGTCACATAAGGGAACTCCCCTTCTGGTGAGTTCCCTTATGTTGAAATTTGGGTGCATTTCCTGGAGGGATGAATAGGATTACTTCATGTGAGGCATAAATTCAAAAAATTCTGTGTGGTCATTCTTTGAATGGGATTGGTTGGATCTATCTCAGTGATATCTCTCAATCCCTTTTCATTAGAAGCATTTCCCATTAGACAGTAAAAGCTGATATATTATGATACTCATAATATGCAGCATTAATATTGCTTTTTTAAGCTTTTAATTGAGCTTTCAATAAATATTCAGCATCAAGATGCTCCCAACATGGCCTTCCAAATAAATTTTCTGAGGTTTGGAGTCTTCATGAAATGAGATGGTACAAGCAGCCATGATTAAATCCTGAATATCAAGGTCAACTCACAGATGCAGATGAGAGCTGTTGAGGGAGGATATTGATATCAGGATCATCTTCACTGTTTGGATGAAGAGATGAATCCACAGTAGAAGCAGTACCAGACACATCCTCTTCAGATGATGAAGACAGGGACTTCTCCCACAAGTTTACCTGGTTAATGATACTCAGCACATGCAAGGATGCTGGCTACACATGACCAAATGGACGACAGACACTCCTGCCTGCATACCTTGTTAGTTGCTAACATTCCATAAAACCACATCAGGCAATGCCTCACCTTGGCATGAAGCAGAGTAGGTCTCGTGTCTCAAGTTCAAGGAGAAATGTATCCAGTGAGAGTAACATTATGAGTGTTGAGGAGAGAAGAGGATGGATGGGAATGAGGGGTACATACATGGTATCATCATGTTGGAACTGAGAGATTCACAAAGTCCAAAATCTCTGTGAAATGTACAAAGGTTCAAGGTGGGGTGGGTGTGTGGGTGGATGGATCAGACTGAAGGACGGAAGACAGAGAATGATGGAATTAACCAATAGGACTCTAGATCGGAGTGTATGGATTCGTCATTGACCGGGGGGGGGGGGCTCACATAGGACTCACTCGATTCTCTTTCCCGCTCTTTTTCTTCTTCGTCTTCTTCCGCTTCACTTCCTCGGTCTCTCCCCTATCCATCATCTCTTTCTCCCTTCTCTCCTCTCCCCTTTTCTTCTTCTTTCCTGTCCCCTATGAGAGAGCCCTCACGTCATTTCCTCAGGGAAATCCTGGGAGGCACGTAGACTAAAGAGGCAGGTTAAACCATCTCTTCACACGGTCACAAGATACATCTAATTAATTGTGTCTACTGGAATGAATCCCTGGCATTCACTCTCTCATTTACTGAAGACATTCACGTTCCTCTACTCGAAGAATAAGAGGAAACAAAGACAGTACCACGAATAAGTCTACTACGCCATTTCCAACAATACGTGAGCACGCTGGTCTACTCACAATGGAGGTGTCTTGCAAGGAATCGGGGTTAGCAACGACGTAAGGAGGCATGCTGGATCTCCACGACCCATCATCATCGTGGTTAGAAGGATGGTTATCTTTCTCCAGGGAATCCAGTTCCTGGAGACTTTCATAAGGACTTACACTAGTGGCTGGGATCCCATCCTTCACTTTCACCTCCTCCTGCCTCTCCATGTTTCCTCCTATATCGATGGGAAAATAAAAAGAAAAAGTCATTCATCCATTCAAGGTAGGAAGAATGAACTAGGACGACGGTATGAATGGGAAAATGTAGACCGGTTCCACGATCCTGACATCATTTCCAGAGTCATGAAGATGCCCAGAGGCCAAAATCAGTTTCAACACGTGGGGCGGATTCCGAGGGTTTCAACCACCTAGGTCGGCCTACTGTAGTCATTCTTAAATTACTTTCACACGATTCACCCTGACCGTCTTCTGTTCATATCGAAGGCCATTACCTCCATCATCATCACTTCTTTCATCCCACAACATGTCCTTTGTCCTATTTCACCACGAACTAGGAATCCATTCCTACTCTTATCGTGGACTCACAAGAATGCAGTCCAGGAGAGGTCGACATCGTGAGTAGACCTTCCCGAACGCGTCTGGAAAGAAGGGGAATGTCTACGTGCTCACGTGAAGGTCAAGACACATTCCAATTTCCACATTCCCTTCCAGCACCTTCTAATTTCTTCTACTTCAAGATCATACTCGAAGAACTTATTCTGATAGTACTCGGTTGCAAAGCAGTGCTGAGGTCACGCAGAAATGACGACACGATGACTTAAACTTCACCTCATGCCACGGAGTACTTATAAAGCAGCAGGACCTCGTCACATGTGCTTACGTTTACGATGTGTAAACCGGAGTCAATAACACGAATCACCTTCAAAGAGCCCCCAGAGGGAGGTCCAATAAAGCGTAGTCCTTTTTTCTGCATGACTTGCCGGAATGGCCTGTGGTCATTTTCTCATTCGGGTCATCAGGGCTTCCCAGGGACATTCAGACAGACGCCCCCCCCCCCCCCCCCCCCCCCCCCCCCCCCCCCCCCCCCCCCCCCCCCCCCACCCAANNCAACCCCCCCCCCCCCCCCCCCCCCCTAGTGCACATGAGTGAGATCGCATGGGAAACTTCCTAAGACCGACTGGAATGGAATCGAAAGAACAGAGCGAGAAGCTTCTTCTTTTGTATAACCTTGAACTCGATAGTCCGGTTCGTTTTCTGCTTGACATCCCGGCCGGAAAGTGGCTAAGATAAGGACCGGGTTCCCATTTCCGATGTGACCGAGACCGTCTGAAAAGGGCAAGGAGGTCAGAGAGAATTCCCCTGATCATGTGGAACGGCTCGACTCGAGGGAAGGGGGAAAGAAGGCCAGGACAACAGGAAGCTCAGGAGATGGAGACTATTTTTAAGCGCTCTCTCTCCATCCTCTTTTGGCACCTGCCCCAAGTCACACACCAGAGGAGAATCATACACAAACACACACCTATCTTCCTCGAGGAAACCCCACCGATCCACTCACACGTAACTCCAAACTTGGAACCATGAGGACGAATCCCATCCCTAACATCGAGCGTGACTATGTACGAACGTGAGAAAAGTCCGGGATTGCAGAAAAAAAGAGGGAGAGAAAGAGAAGAGGAATGGAAGTTGTGAAGTGTAACGACGAGCTGGTCCGTGAAAGACACGGGTGTGCATCTTGATGCACGATCCTGTCTGCCCCTGAAATGCTTGTCGTAGTACGCCACTGGAGTACACATCTCATGCCTGTCCAAGCATCGAGAAATGAAGGTCTTGTTTGCTCAGGGCCGTAGCCAGGATTTCCTGCAGGGGTGAGGGCAGTTAACTAACCCGGACGACCGAGGTTAGGGAGGAGGGGGAAGGAGTCAATTGTCTCCTTTTCCTCACGGATATTCTACAAAAACCTATTCCGTGCCATGCAGAAAGCTACTACGTTTGCTATTACTGAAAAACCATTACTCAAAGCACTTAAATGTACGGTGTAAGCATTGACCGTTGACGTTGTGACATTCGCGCGTCATGCTGTCAGGAGTTGGATGTTCTATTGCGTGCAGGGGCATTGAGACTTCCCGGAAACTGATTGCAGACCGGTTCACGGAGGCAGCAGGAGCAAGTTTCAGCAGTACTGAAGGGGTTAGAGGAGAAGCAATAGATGTACGTCAAGATATGTTCCCCAGTCGTAAGTTCTTATTCGCCCTTGAAAGAGTTCATATCTGTGGTATTTCCAGTAAAGCGTTCCACAATCTATTAAATTAATTGAAAGAGGCCGAATTGTGGTGGCTGTCACTTCTAACGTGCGTGGCCTACGATGCTATGCCATTCTAGGCCATAGGCCAGGCCATCCACGGCCTAAAGCGCCACGCCTGCGAGGCTCTGCCATTCTGGGCCATAGGCAAAGCCATCTAATACTTTGATTTAATTGTGAGGTGTGGTCTCGATGATAATTAAATTAGTTGGGCGTCAACACTTTCGAACTTCTCGAGGCTTGTTGGACAATTTTTAATGTTTGGTTTGAACCGAACTGCTTCATATATTTATGTAAACATTTTAAGAATTTCCACCCATTAGACGGCCAGCGTTTGCTCTTCACTAAGTTCCTAAGAAGATTCCTACTCTCCTCCCTTGAGTTGAAATGCCGCTACGATCTCCGTGTCCATCTCAAGGGCTCATTCTTTCATTACTTGAGTGCCGAAGAATGGTGCTTGCACAAGATTGCAAAGCCTTCAATATAGCTGCTAATATAGTTGTGCGTATATAGTATAAAGTGCGTAAGTTGCTAATATAAGAATGGGACTACCCTTGAAAAATGAAGGAAAGTCCAATGCATTTTCATAGCCTTCTTTCCCAGGCCCTCCAGCCTCGACACTACGAGGTGTGGGTGCGATGTATGAACAGAAAAAACTTCAGTCCAAATGCATGAATTTATTATGCGTATTCGAGGAAAAGTGATTCCGAGAGCTCCAATTTGATTTAAAAAAAATGGAAATTCTTACCAGATGGAAATTAACCCTTATCTAGGCAAGGTATTTTCGGAACATAAGCGGACGGAAGTCCAATGGACTCCCCTTGTCCGCTTTTTTAATTATCAACCTGTGTTCATTTGGTTGTCCCGTTTACAATCGTCTCCCATTAACATAATATCCACAGTATTCACATGTAAAAAAAATGAAGTTACTGAGGCTTCTGTGTCCAAATATCATTTCGGCTTGCATTTCTAGCACACTCTTTTGACGACAGCGTGTGTTTCATCCTCTGTCTGCACATCGCTCTCTTCCGACGCTTCGTTCTCGTTGTAATCTTCACTGGAAATTTTGTCGCCTGTTGCCATATAATCATTATCGTCATCCAACTCTTCATTGTCTACGATGTTTCTTTATCATTTCCCGAGACATTCAAGCTCTCCCCGCAACCTCTAAGGAAACGGTAACAGAAATAAGATTGTTATAAATATGTTGCCTCTCATTCTGAAATCAAATCTGAAAATAGTGCGTTTTACCGACTCCTTCGCTACAGGATATTTGAGGGAAATACTCATAGTTCAGTGCCAGAGGTGGTGAAAAACTACTGAAAAATAACGTGAAAATTGGATACAATTTCCAATAAATTTGCATGCGTGCCAATATTACCCGAGGTTGCATGAAACTGCGAGAAAACCACGTACTTCGGCGAAGCTAACTCGAAATGGTGCACAATCAAGTACTGCATGCAGGTGTCACGGGTAGGATGGTATCTTCACCAGAGAGTAGCGATATTAGTCAATACAGAAGGACAACAGGATTTGTCCGAGAAGGCCAAAACTGAGAGGTCTTACCAGCGTAGCTCTGTTGGGCAGCTAAACGGCTGTGAGAGAGAGCCGTTGCAAAACGTATTGGGTTGTAACATATATTCCCGCCGTTTTTATATTTTGTTTGTTTTCACTCCATATTTTTGAAGTTTGGCAAAGTGGATATAGTCATTCGAAAGAGCGTTCTTCCCTCTACAAACTTATTGCCACCATTTTTCCGAATAACTTAATTTTACTTAACTTTCAGGTATTTGAAATGGAAATACCAGGCGGCAAGAAAACCCATTTTCGACACTTGCTTTATTTCGCGTTTCGCCGTAATCAAAAAGCAGCCGAAGCAGCTCGGGATATTTGTGCCGTTTACGGAGAGGGTGCTATAGCTGCGAGGACTGCTCGAGATTGGTTTGCCAAGCTCCAAGTTTTTGAGTAAAACCAATTGATTGAAGGTGACGGGATATCGTCATTGCATTGCTGTTCATCTTCTCGGCCAATTCTCTGCATGTTTGGCGACCGTCCTCCTTCAAAAGCACCTTCAAATGGTCTTCGTCGAACTCGGTAGGTCGCCCAGAGCGAGGCGTGTCGTCCAGGTCGAAGTTGCCATTTTTGAACTTGGCAAACCAATCTCGAGCAGTCCTCGCAGCTATAGCACCCTCTCCGTAAACGGCACAAATATCCCGAGCTGCTTCGGCTGCTTTTTGATTACGGCGAAACGCGAAATAAAGCAAGTGTCGAAAATGGGTTTTCTTGCCGCCTGGTATTTCCATTTCAAATACCTGAAAGTTAAGTAAAATTAAGTTATTTGGAAAAATGGTGGCAATAAGTTTGTAGAGGAAAGAACGCTCTTTCGAATGACTATATCCACTTTGCCAAACCTCAAAAATATGGAGTGAAAACAAACAAAATATAAAAACGGCGGGAATATATGTTACAACCTAATACATGTAAAATGTAAAAAGAGTCCAGCAGACTCACCTAGTCCGTTTGCGTCAGGTAAGTGTTTACGAATATTTGCGCGAGCAAAAAAATACCCAAAAATTCGGACATGGTAACATACAGGGTGAGTCAAAAGTCACTGGACGACTTTGAACAGCTATATCTCAGCAAGGAAGGCATTAATTTGCAAATTTTTTGCATATGAAAAGCGTGCGTTAATTGACGAAACAAGACGAAACACTGGCCAGTAATTACAGTCATTTTTAAGTCAAATAAATAACCAATTTTTTTTCAACGTTGACTTATTTGCCGAGTAATAGCTGTTCAAAGTCGTTCGGTGACTTTTGACTCACACTGTACTTGTCCATGATCAATATGACCGAGAAGTATCCACACTTGACCATGCAGAGTTCTCCTTAGTGCTTCGAATAGCAGATTGTCTTGCAGATTGTTCTCGATGCAGGAAAACGTTACGATTCGGCTTCCATCTTTTCCTAAAGAGTGCAATCCCGCCGTGCTGCTCCGTCACGACAACTACCTTTCATATTCATCTCGTGGAATTTCATTCTCGTTATTGTACCTGCAGCTCTTCATCGCTTTACTCGAGTACATACGAATAAGGTCAAGCCCGAGGCAAAGATCCTATGGACCGTGTAAAGTTGCGGACCCAAAGGATCAAGGCTCACTCACATCGTCCTCGACGAGGTATCGCTTAAGGCATGGCGACACGATCTAGTTCACTTCGCAGACGCCAACCTCTTGCAAAGAAAGAAGAGGGGAAACCGGCGGAAGTATTTCAATACGACTGGTTACAATCTAACAAGAAGAGACACGATGGCAAAGTGTAATATCGGGTCGCACCCAGCCCTAAAGGCAGAGTAGACACGGAAACGAGACAAAGGTTACATGTTTAGATTTTCCGTAAATACGTCGCCTTGTTTCCAGAGCGTGACTAAGGTTAACTTCGATATACTGTAGCATTTCGACCACGCTCTCTAGCGCGCTGACCGTCAAGGGGTGTGAACCTTTGTTCTTCCCTATGGCAAATGTGACACCGGCGTG